AATAAACATTTACTTAATAATATAAAAATGTCTGAATATTATTTTTTCAGGCGCCCAGTACCTCGTTCTGCACACGTTGCTGCTGTTTATGACAATAAACTTTGGATTTATGCTGGTTATGATGGAAATGCACGTCTGAATGATATGTGGACTATATCTTTAAATGTATGTAGTAAATATTATTATATTTAACGTAATTAAACTACTATATTAGTATCATGTAATTTTATTAAAAGTAACAGACCTGATGAATATTATGGAACATACAAATCACTAATGTCTAACCGCATGCACTTTTTTTTAGTTATTTATATTATTCATTTTATTTCATTATTTTTGTTTATAATTGAGGAGTCAACATTAAAATATTAAATTTATGATGTCAAATTGATTTTATACAGAGTGAACCAGTGTGGGAAGAAGTGCAACAAAAAGGAGATTGTCCTCCAACGTGTTGCAATTTTCCAGTTGCTGTAGCAAGAGGTTGTATGTATGTTTTTAGTGGCCAAAGCGGAGCCAAAATCACCAATGCATTATTTCAGTTTAATTTTCAATATAAAACGTAAGTTTACAGAATAATTATGAATAATACATCTAATGAATTAATAATATTTTTTTTTCTTGATAACATGTTTTTTTCTATTTTAATTTTTATGAACTATCTACTTTTATTTTTATTTATAATAAACAATGTATTATACATTGTAAAATTGAAATCATGAATTTTAGATGGACTCGAATTTCTACTGAACATATATTGCGAGGTGCTCCCCCACCTCCACCAAGAAGATATGGACATACAATGGTTGCATATGATAGGCATCTGTATGTGTTCGGTGGAGCAGCAGATTCAACACTTCCAAATGATTTGCACTGCTTTGATTTAGATACACAAGTGTGGTAAGAAAGCTTATTGATTGTAGTTTTTCAATTCTATTTCTAAAGCATCTACTAACCTGTTTTGCCGTTAACCTATAAAATTTTTGCATTCTTTAAGATTATTTGTATGGATTTCGTAACCTATTATAAATTATATTTTATTAAAAATGGTGCCTTTAAAAGTAACTGGTCCATTTAAATTAAGATTAACAGAATTTTTATTGTGAATTAGAATATCATCAATTCTATATTTATTTTATTATAATACATCAGGTCAGTTGTTATGCCCGCTGCTGAGTCCAATGTGCCATCAGGAAGACTATTCCATGCCTCAACTGTGATTGGTGACGCAATGTATATATTCGGTGGTACTGTTGATAATAATGTCAGAAGTGGAGAAATGTTTAGATTCCAGGTAAATGTTATCATGAAATAAATAATCAGTTTTGATATATCTAATTCATTTTTTTATATCAGTTTTCCAGTTATCCAAAATGCACACTCCATGACGATTTTGGAAAAATCTTGCAGACTAGACAATTTTGTGATGTATTGTTTTTACTTGGGCCTGAAGAAATTAAAGTTACTGCTCATTTGGCAATGGTAGCAGCAAGGTCGCAGTGGTTGAGAGCTAAAATAAGGTAAACATTTATTTTAAACATCATATTCAATTTTAGTATGTTATAGCAGAATAACATACTAAATATTTGTATATATTTATATTTACAAATTTTATAATAGCCTGTAAGAATTTATTAGATGTAGTTATTAAACTGTTTACAAATCTTAACAACATGTGAATTGCTTTGATACAGTAGAATATCAAGTACATGAGCCCCAATTTAAATTTTTGTCGAAGTTTACTCAAAAATGGCTGCATAGATTTGAAAAATTTAAAGACCATTTATTTAATGAAACTTGATAAGAACTTGAGTTGATTATTTCTGCGCCACGTTCGACTAAACTGTTATTTTATAATTGGATTGGATATTCCTAGACTTACAAAAAAAACTTTTCTTCCTTGTTTCTTTCTTCCTAGAGATGAGTTTTGGATTGTTTTGATGCGTAGGATTCTCTCATTTTACAGCAAATGAATGACCTTCTGGACCAACTTTTGTTCCCATAAGCATCATTATTTTTATTATAAAATTTTATTTTGAAAATAAAACGCATTCATTTATACAAAATTATATGGAATATTTTGGTCCCAATCAAATATTTGGAGTATTATTATTTTGAACCAAACATTGAGTCAATAAGTCTTTTAATGATTTTTTTCATAAATTTGTTTAATAACCAGTAAATCAGCGATCTTGATGACAACATTGCAACTAAATCATCCATTGATGTCGCTGCTGTAACAAAAAATGATGTATGCTTGGGTCTGGGTGAAATCCAACTTACAGGGAGATTTTGAACTTGCTATATATTATTTTGAGTTCCTGAACCTAAACATCGAGTCAATAAGTCCTCTGATGATATTTTCTCGTAAATTGGTTTAATAACTTCCAAAGCTTTGTCACACAGAGGAGGATTATCCTGGTCAAAAAGCTATATTTCCAAAAATAATTTAAATTTTGAAAATCCTCTTTTACACATAATCTTAAGTAGTTAATCTTTGAAAGTATAGAAAATCAATTTCTTAAAACAGAAAACACCATAACTGCTTCATCAGAATCATTGCATTTGTATAAGGCTTGCACCGAATATTCGTTTACTATTCGGTATTCAGGATATTCAGCACATTTTTTAATATTTAGCCGAATACCGAATAGTAACTTACTATTCGGCCGAAAACCGAATAGTTAAGATCAAAGGCGCTGCCGCCGCTCAGCGACAGCATTGTTGGTGTTTTATCTTTTATGTGATAAAGAGCTGTCGATGGATCTGTATTTGGAAGTGTTTGGTTTATGTAATATGATATGAAAAAATGATTTCGTTATGGTATATATAATAATTTAAACTCTATTGACTTTTGACATTATAAAGGAGCATGTGAAGAACTTTTCTGAATATTCACAAGATACTTTATTGTTACATGTTTATAATATTTAATATGAATCATTCAATGGTTACACGCATGTGTGGTATGCAAACAATAAAGTCATTCATTATACACAATCTAATTGTAAGCATTTCCAAATAAGAGCTATTATTGGCTCTTTATTGCAAAATATACAAACAATATTTTTGATCATTTTTTATTTATTTTATTATGATTTAATTCCTAATATGTGAAAAGTAATATTGAGTTTATGAAAGAAAATATTAAATGTTTATGAAAGAAATAATTAGAAATGCATTTACATATATGTAAAGAATTCTTCATGGTTTTACCATTCATTTCCCTATAACATGTAGTATTCAAGTATTCGGTTTTCAGCCGAATAGTATAAATGATGCCAAATATTTCAAATAACAAAGAATTGCCGAATAGTGGTTCCAAGTCTAGGCATAAAACTTGAATAAAACATGTAGCGGGTTAGTGATATAACGATTACTGATAGTAATTACATTAATACAAACGATCTTAGGCACCAAAAACTTGCCGAATAGTTGCCGAATATTCGGTATTCGGTCACTGCAGCATGCCGAATATTCGGTATTCGGTCACTGCAGCATGCCGAATATTCGGTATTCGGTCACTGCAGCATGCCGAATATTCGGTATTCGACATTTTGCCGAATATACAATTCGTTGCAAGCCTAATTTGTATACAAAAATTTGGTGCGGGTATTGGGTCCTAGTTCAAGTAAATCCATGATCAAAACCTCAAGTTGAAAGCATGTATTTCTGGCATGATGATGGCGCTGACAGTCAGTTGCAATATAACCTCTATTCGCAATTGCGTTATGTCAACGATATTAATATTGTAACTCACTTTTAATGCAATTTATAAATAAATTCAAAGATGGGTACAGTATTATCAGCAGCCAAAGAAGTATAAATAAATTTAATATTGAGGACGGGCTCATAAAGTTCTTTCTAAAGAAAAACCAACTCCGGCACCCAAGCATCCGAAAGATGTTAAAATATTTCAAAAGGCATTGAAAGAAAACCCTGAGTCTAGCATGTTAAAGCAGCATACAGATCATGATGAAAGACTAAAGCATGTTTATCTTGAATCTTATGATGTGGGGCCTGATCACAGGACAGAGAAATCTGATCCTTCTAAACCATTACCGTTAAATCGATCTGCTGTAGAACCTCCTATATATGGGTTTCATGAGCCCAATCACGTACCCTATGGAAAATGTACTTTGAAGCAGGCTATAGAGTTTATTGAAGAATATAATAAAGATAAACAAATGAATAATGCAAATGCAATAGCAAATAAGTACAAACTGTCTGAAGAAACAACGAGTGCTATTCTAGAACATTTTAGAGTATTTCAAGTATATGTACCTCCTAAACTAGAAAACAAAAGTCCTTTGGATTTATTACAGACAGCTGAAAAAGCTTCAAGAACGATAAAAATTGGAGATAAATAGTTTATTACTAGTTTATATATCTGTTAAAATGTAGCAAATAAATGTACAAAGTGTATATTAAAATAAAAATTATTTAGCTTATTATTGGTTTTGTATGATCATCATGTCTAATTTCGATTATTTATCACATAATATATTGGTATTATTACCTTTGACAATTTCTTTTCATGATATGATACAATAATAAAATACTTGATTAAATGGAATATAGTGTAAGTTAATGAATGCAAGATTACATGTATTTTTAATTAATTATATGTTTTGCTTTTTTTTTCAATAATGAACTATTTCTGCAGGGCTGCCCGTGAAGCTAGAGATAAACATATTGAACAGTTATTTGTAAATACAAATGAACGTCCACCTCCATCTGATCTACCATTTTTAGAAGTTAAACTACCGGATGCTTCTTCAGATGCATTTGAGATGGTATTGAATTACATTTATACTGACAGAATAGATCCAACAGAAAAAAGTAAATCTAATCTTTGAAAAACATTTTGATTAAAGATTCTTTTATCTAATTTTTAATTAAATATTTATTTCAGTTAAAGATCCTTTCAGCAATCAAATTGTTTTATTGATGATGGATGTATATCAGCTCGCGGAACAGTTTTACATACCAAGGCTTGAACAATTGTGCATTCAGTATCTTGAATTTACAATATTACCTTGCAATGTATTGGAAGCTTTACATAATGCAGACAAAATGAATTTAACTGTGATAAAAGAATTCTGCTTAAGATTTATTGTTAAGGAATGCAATTTTACTCAAATTGTTATGTCGAAGGAATTTGATACTCTCTATCAACCACTTATGGTTGAGATTATACGCCGCAAACAAATGCCTCAAGCAAGAAATTTACCCGAGATGCAATATGATATTTCAATAGGTATATTATACATATGGTACTTTAAATTGAATTATTTTTATATTCTTATAAATCAACAAAATTGCTGTTATGGTGAAATAATAATCTATTCTAGTTAGATTCCATTTTAATGTTCATATCATTGATTTCAAATCTTTTTCAAATATACTAATTAAAATATAATTTTTAAGGAACAACATTGGAACAAGATATGGCATTATTTTTAAAATCAGTAGGAAATGAGTTTTGTGATATAGTTCTCGAATTAGATGGTTCTGCCATACCAGCGCATAAAAGCGTACTTGCTGCAAGGTGTACTTACTTTGAAGCAATGTTCAGATCTTTCATGCCATCAGATAATAGAGTTAATGTAAGTTTTATCAATAAATATTTTTTTAAAATATTTGTTACATTTGAATAAATTAATAACTGAATTATTTTAGATACAAATAGGTGATATATCACCTTCCAGAGAGTCATTTGAATCTTTACTCCGATATATATATTATGGCGATACTAAAATGCCTCCTGAGGATTCACTATACTTATTTCAAGCTCCATTCTTTTATGGTAATTGATGGTTTTTTTATCACATATTCTGAAACATTTACATATTTTATTAATACTTTATGATTCTTATAGGTTTCACAAATAATAGACTGCAGGCTTTTTGCAAACAAAATTTAGAAAATAATGTGACAAGCGACAATGTGTTACAAATTTTGGAAGCAGCAGATAAAATGCAAGCTATTGATATAAAAAAGTATGCTTTGCGAATGATAATGAATGATTTTCCCACTGTAAGCAGATTAAACATTTTTTTAATTTTATAAACAGGTTGCTATTGATGAATAATATATTGATTTTGATTTTTAGGTGGCACGACAAGGAAAGATGTCAAGTTTAACAAAAGAGCTTTTGATTGATATTTTAAGAGCTCTTGCTGATGAAAAATATGATTCCGGACTATGTGATATGAGCTTACAAGGAAGCAAATAGTATTCACTTATACTAAACTACTTTTACAAGATAAAATGCTGGTCATTAAAAAATATTATATATTAACTATAATTAAGTGTAATTTTAATATAATTAAAATGCATATTATACTAAATATTTTTAACATCTTTATGGACAAAATTTAATTTTCTTATTTATATATTTTTATTTAAATTTTGCTTTTTGTCAGCTTTTTATATAATGCAAGTTAATAATAGCTCGTTAATAACGGCTCGCATTAATTTTGCGTGAGATTATCAATCATGTTGTTTCTTTTGGAATGATTAGTAAAATAAAAAACAAAACGTCAAAGATTGAGTAGAAAATTTTCAACCGATTATGAAAACTCGAAAAGAGTTTGAAAAACATAAATCTTTCTGGAAGTGTGCCATTAGGCCAACGTATCTTTATGCTGCTGAATATAAATATGAAATAAATATAAATCAACATATGCACTATTGGGCAGCTTGCTAACCATATATTGTTCATATAACTGATATAACGGAGAGCTAAAAGGCATATTTCATAAACGTTGAGTTATTTTTTTATATTCAATATTAGCATATACAAATATTATTAATATTTATTATTCATGCAAATTTATCACAAAAATTAACGTAGATAAATAAAAATAAATATATTGATTTTGTAATGGGTGTAATGTAAAAACCACAATTTTCTATTATTATGAAGTTTAAAATAATTAATCATTTTATACTCGTACGTATTAGATTTTATTTGCAAACATGGAAAAAAGTGCAAATATAAAAAAAACTCGGTTGCATATAGGCAGCCTTCCTGTTACGAAGACATTATTATTTTTTTTTAATTTTGCATACTATCGAAAATGATGAATCGATAAATAAAAACGCATGTCGTTTTATGAAAGATAAAGTCTGTATGTCTCTTTTTCTACGAAAGTACAACGAAGTACTTTGTACAAAAAATCTGTGTAATTTATTATTATTATTTTTTTTACTTATCTATGTGGTTGTTGATACTGTTACATATGTGAAAATAAATATAGTACTAAAGTTAAGTTTCATATGTTAAAATAAATTTACCCAAAATATTTCAATTATTAACGCCGAGTACGGAAAAAGTCGCAAAAGACGTTGATGGCATTGTTTAGTTAATTATCGATTTCATACGGGAAATTTTAACGCAGAGAGCTGTTTCTTTTTGGATTTTTTTTATTATACTTAAGCTAATTATCGATTCTTATATAATCTGGTAGACAAAATAATGAAATCGATAACTGTCCCTAATTATTACTACGTAATTTATTTGCGGCAATCGATGTGAAACAGAATTAATGTGCGTGATTAAAAAAAGTCAGATAATACAATATTAGCCTTATTGTATTAATATTATATTACATATAAAAATTTAAAAATTAAAACAATATGAAATGAATTCATTTATTTGATATTTTTTGTTTGTCTGAACAACTATAACGGCCGATAAAAATTTCATTTAACCGTTGGCGTCATTTTAGTAATTTCAAAATATGACCCAAAACATTTTCAGTCGTTAACTCGTTAGTATCGAAACATTGGCCATCTCTTGGTCTACAACTACAAATATCTGTGTTTAATATCAATGTTGTGACTTAAAGGCCACAAAATCAAAGCATTGGCCAAGTAGTTGGTTATGCAACTTTGTCCGAACATTTCATGTGGAAATAAATCAGTGTTGTGTCTAGTGTTAAAAGAATTATGGTGGAATGTAGATATGAGTAAATGTGTTGATTAATATAGTTTTTATATAAAATTTTATTAATTCTGGAGTTTCATTAGCATGGCCATGTCTTGGTCTATAAATATCTATGTTTAATATCAATGTTGTGATGTTAAAAGACACAAAATCAAAGCATGAACCAATGATTAGTCGGTAACTTTGTGCGAATTCACAATTTATGTGTAGTGCAGTGTTGTATATGTTTAGTGTTAAAGAATATGGTGCAATATATATTGTGTAGATGTGAGTGATTTGAAATTTGGTTCAATTGGCAGTTTTATCAACAGGGACCACGATGAATAAGGTAAATAATTATTAACACCTTGTTAATATGCATGACGCATACGAGCAACGTTTACCGCCAAAATTGTGCAGCTCTGTGAACGTGACGGTCACTGTAATTTTATGTCTCAAAATATTACAGCTTCTTGTATGGGTCACTGTTAATATAGAAATAATATTTTTCAAATATTTTATGTTCGTATCTATCGCGTAGGATTGTATTAGATTGTCATTAATATTGAGTGCGACTTAGGACCCAGTCTTAAAATTGCCTCGTGGACTCGCGTAGTACCTACTTTATTTCCAAATATACCGTACGATGTTAATTTTTTTTTTTTTTTTTGCATAATTGGGTTATAATAACCATAAATAATAAGTATTTGCAAAAAATAATTTTTTTTTGTATCTAAATAAATCGAAAAATTGTGCGCGCGGGTTAATTATTATTTAGAATAATTTCAGCATATATCCATATTATTACTTATATATGAGAAGAGCAATAATTTAGATAACTTTCAATTTATTTATTATAAAATACATGTCATAAAAAATCTTACATGTTAAAAATTAAACTTAATAACTAGATAAATTACATTACATGGACATTGTTTATATATACAGTATCTTAACAATAGTAAATGAATAAATGATATTACGTACATATAAGAGCCATTATACAATATTAATAAATAAAATAGAGACTATCATATTTTGTATGATTAATTCAAATTTGCTTTCTTAGTATAAAGCAAAGAATTATTACTCTTAACTTCATTAAAAATTCATGTTCGTTAAAAAATATCACGTAATTCATGACGCGATGTGTTGAACCTACAACTAAAAATATGAAAAACCATTTTGAATATTGCTAATGAATGAATGTATACAAAACAATTGAAATATTTTATGTTAAAATAAAGAAATTTTGAGTATTTTTAAAAATTAATAACTAATGTGGTTTTGAGCGCAGATGCTTAGAGTTCGATATGTAAGATGTTTGGCACCCTTTCATTGGAAAAATCACATTTATTTTTTTTACAAAAAAGTAATTTATGATTTTTTTTTAATATTTTTTATTTTGCATTCATGATCTTGATTTAATTGTTATTCTGTTGACTTGTGATGTGAGTGTGAATTTGGGCTCAGTATTTTCAAGGTGCACTCCTGTTCTTCTCAACTCTGTAAGTGAAAAAATGAATGATTAAAAATAGGTGATATAAAACACTTCATAGCCATGAATTTCATGACAATATTAATTACACCTCAGAGATTACTGTACAAAATTATTAGATTTATTATTTTTTATTTTATTAAATTATTAAAATTATTAAATTATTTGCTTTTAAATCATCAGTCCGATATATGGTTTTATAAAAACAATTATTCTGAATATTTATACTGGTTTTAGAAAATTAATCATTCTGAACCATTAAACGCGCTAAGGTTTGTTTGACAAATTTCTGACTCGCTTAGGTAATGATTCAAGTAACTAAAATTTAGTTTTTTTATATTTCTATTTCTTTGCTTACAACATTTTTATTTTATATCCTATATCTTTTTATATCGTATTTGGTGTTTTGAAGACATTCATTTATATCCCATTATAATAAAATTCAATATCACATCTAATTTTTTTTTCAAGTATATACTAATTTCTAACTTACCGTAGGGTAAGTCATTGTAATTAATCATCCAAAAATCGAAAATGATTTTTTTTTGCATATCTTCACGTTTCGAAGGTTTCCGAACATTTTGACTACCTCAGAAAAAATAGATATGTGTGTTTAATGTGTGCATATGTATCTACGATTTCGGATGCACGAATCAACCGATTTGAGTAATTAAAACACATTCGATTCTTACTGATGGAAAGACGTGTTGATTAGCTTTTGGCAAAGACAGGTTCAGTCGTTTTAGATATACGGAGCTAAATGTGCAAAAAATGGTAGGTTTCGAGAGAACGGAGCATCCGATTTGAAAGATTAGAAAACCAATTTGCTCGAACAGTGTGAAGAAACGATTAGTTTTAGGGGATTGCATTTTTTAAAAAATATATTTTTTTTAATTTACAATAATTTTTTTTATGAATATCAAAATCTGAATTAATTTAATTCCTTAATTTTATTCCTAGCTAAAATTCTAAAGCTCACTTTTATACTTCAAATGAATAATCTTAACTTTGCAATTCAGTTTATATAATTCTTAATTATGAGATGAAATCCTTCAATTACTTTTCATGTGAACATATATAAACATCGTCGTCCAATCTATAAGCTCTTAAATTTGGTCTATAAAATACAAACAATTGAAGATACAGAATTTATAATAATCTATTAAAAAACATTTGATTTTTCGAATATTTCATTACGGTACGGGAAGTTCCAGCAATTTGCCTTAAGACACGATGCACCACTTGTATGATAAATTTTAGTATCGAGACCCGAAGCCTTTTCGGACTTGTTGTGGTCCGATTCGTAAATTGCGGCTAAGCCCAGTATTATTAAATGCAACCCTGTTGTTGGACTGCACTGGACAAAGAAAGCAAAATGCTTTCCGAATAATTCAATATTTTATGTAACTTGAATACACTATAAATGTACGTAACTAGTTCGCACAGATCAGCCTGAACATGGTAAAATTGCATAAAATTGCTCTTATTCCGTAATTTGCGTACGGGGAGTTACGCAACTCGTACAAAGCTAATCCACATTCCACGGTGTCCATGTCGGCGCGGGAGAAAACTGCATTCATTATACATACATTGATTCCAATTAAAGATTATGAGCGAAATTTTTCTCGCAATAGATTAAATCGCATAACACGATCGGTAGCTGAATCATGAAAAAGTAACGCGGTAGACTTACAGAATTTTATATTTATTACGATGACATATTTTTAAACCGGATTAATAGGCGATAAATTTAAATTATTATTTTTAACACTAGGTTTACTGGCATTTTGTACATATTTCTTCGCGAACCCGCCAAATTGACGCAATGCGTATTTTCTTAAAA